CTGCGAGGCCTGCGACACCGCAGCCCGTGGCTGTCCCGCGGTCCCTTGCCCTCTGTTTCTCGCAGGCCCTTGCGATACTCCCGTGGGTCAGCTCCCGCCGCCGGAGCACACGGGTCGAGGTCCCGGCCACGGCTCGCCCGCGCCGTCCCGCCGCGGCCACCAGAGGGCGCGCGGACTCCACCCAGGCGCGCGCCTCCCCAGCCGCGCCGAGGCCCAACCGCGCGGCCACCGCGCGCTGAGGTCCAGGGGCGACCCGAGGCAGGGCCCCCGCCCGGCCCGGGACACTGCGTCTCTCCAGGGCCCTCGCCACTGCCAGGCGCCCTTCGTGCCTGGCGCTTACCCTGCCAGGGGCAGGATGTGGGGGCGGCAAGCAGGCGGAACTCTGGGGTCCTTGGACATGCTCTGGGGGGCCCGGGGGCCGGGTGCGGGGACCCGCACCGTGCCCGTTCCCAGCGGCTCCCGCCGCCTGCCTCCCGCCAGGTCTCCTCGCCGCTGGCAGGCACGCCTTCAGGGCCCGGTGGGCAGGGGAGGAGCCCGCGTCCGCAGTGGACCCGGAGCTGGGCGCGCAGAGTGGGAGCCGAGTGCACACAGGCCCCACGCACTCAGCAGGGAAGGGGCTGCAGGCAAGGCCTGTGGGGCCCCGGCCTCTGGGGACACAGGAGCGAGGAGCCGGGCCAAGGCTCACTCAACCCAGAGAGCCCCGGGCTGGGCGAAATGCCGTGCTGGCCAGAGGCGCCGCCGACGCCCGTGCCAGCAGGGTGGCTCCCCGGGGCCCGCGGGCAGGGCCACCCAGGCCTGGCCCTCGGCGCCGGCGCTGACACCTTGAGGCTCTTTCTGGAGCAGCAGAGAGGTCCCCACACCACCCGCCCTCGGGGCCCAGCGCTGAGCGGGGGAGGCCGCGGCCTGGTCTTGCCGAAGGGGGTTCAGCTGGGACTCGGACCACGTGGGACCGCAGGGTGACAGACTATAGGGATCCTGGGTCCAGGGTCCCCTCTCAAAGACATGGGGTCGCCTTGCTGCCTTCAGCCTGGAGGAGATCCTGCCTCTGTCTTGGGGCCCAGGGCAAAGGGACAAGGGGTCCTGCTCAGGGGCCGCGCTCTGTGGGGCGGGGAGTTTCTCCTTGGAGTTTTGGCGTAACGGTGCTTCTAACTGATCTCCATTTTTCAGATTTCCGACCCCCATTTAAACCAGCCTCCCCCCCGCCCCGGGGACACAGCCGTCCTCACCCCGGAAACCCGCGACGCCCGCTGAGAAGGCGGCTCCCCCCGCCGGCCCTCCGGGAGCCCTCCTCGTGGCAGGGCCCGGAGCTCGTTTCTATGGTGAAGTGTGAACGTTAAGGTTCTCTTCTTAATTTGAGGAAATCAAGCTCAGCCGGAAGGGACAAGGAGGTTCCCTCCAAATACAGGCCGTTTCCCCGGCGTCGGGAGCGTGAAGGGTGAGGGGCACTCCCCGCGTCCCCTCTGGCTCGGCGAGGCGCGCCTTCGAGGGGCGCTCCTTCCGACTCCCCTCGAAACCCGTGCTGGGACACCCCCGGCCCGCGCTCCGCCCCGTAGCCCAGCGTGGCTTTGGGGTCGGAGCGGGAGCCACAGTGCAGGTGGCGGGCTTTCTCTGTAAAGGTCTGGACAGCCAGGATTTCAGGCTCCGCGGGCCGTGTTCTCGGGCCGCGGCCTCTCCGCGCCTGCTGGGCCCCACCGTGGGAGCTCAGCGGCTCCCCGGGGCCCTGCGCGGCCGCGCAGCTTCGTGCCGGACACGGAAGCTCAGATCTTGTCTACTTCCCATGAGACGTGAACTTCTCCCCCGACCGCTTACAAACGTCACACCGACGTGAGCGGGAGGGCTGTGCGGAGCCGGATCTGGGCCGCAGCGTCTCGGCCCCGTCCCGGGACGCGCCCCTGTCAGGGGCTGGGGGACTCCGGGGCTCACGGGGTCTCGTAAGAAGTCGTCCGAACGTCACCTCCCTGGGCCTCTCGCCCCGCCCCCCGTCCCCCCGGGGGCGGGCTGTTCTTTCCTAAGGATGGACCACTCTTCTGAGTGGTCGCTGACCAAGAGCCAGGCCCCGACAGGGGGCTCGCCGGCAGGCACTTTGTTGTTTTCTTGCCAAATCTCTCGACCAGCTGGGCTTCTTGGCACGTCTGCCCAGTATTTCCCACGTGACTGTGAACCGACAGCAAAGGGAACGTGAGGTGCCTTCTGACCGGCCCCCTGCCCCCGCCTGACCGAGCCCTCCCGTGTGGGCGCGATGAGACCTCCCTTTTATGCTTCTGGCTCAGCCCCACGGAGGGAAATGCGAATTCACAGGCGACCGCATGGGACAGGAGTCCTGCCACAGAACACGCACCGCAGAGAGTCTCTGTAACTTCTTTAATTGTTCAAACAATGGAGCACAAAGGTAACAGTTTCAAGTACATTCTGATACAGGTTTTGACAGGAGGAGATCGGCGCGGGGTCCCGGGGCAGGTGGAGAGCGGCACCGCCGGTGCACCGGGCGGACTCACGGCCGCGTCCGCCCTGCAGACAGAGAAGGGGGGCCTCCTGCGGCCGGCGCGGGTCGCCCCTCCCCGGCCCCGTGCCCTGGGTTTGGTCTCTCTACGAGGTGGCGTCCTTTTGGTGCCCACAGAAAAGAGAATTCTTAATGTAAAGCTGAAAGTGGGACGGGGTGGGGTGGGGGGCCACTGGCTGAGTGACCGGAGCCGGCGGCCAGGACTCTGCCAGGGCCACGGCCGGTCGCCGCAGCCGGAGATGCCGGTGGGCCTAGGGCTTCTGGGTGCCGTGACCAGCTCGCACACACAGTGGGCAGGACGCGGAGCGCCACCGGGCGTGAAAACTGAAGCTGCTCACCACCTGCACGACCAGAGATAGGCCTTCTCCGGAGACACCAAGGAGCACGGCTGCCCAGAGGGCCCGGCCGTGGGGCGCACCGTGTGCCCGCGGACCGCCAGCCCCAGCGCCTTGCACGCGGGTCCCGGACCCCTGCGAAGCCACGCCCGGCCAGGCCCTCGGCGCAGAAGCCCCCGGGGCCCCCGGCCCAGCCCCTGGGGCCGCCCCTCCCGGCAGGTCCGACCCCACTCCGCTCTCGGGAGCCGCCTGCAGAGCCGCACCGCAGAGCCCCGCTGCGCAGACGCAGGGGCCCGAGGCACACCGCAGGGGTGACAGCGGCCTTCGGAACGCCGACGTGCTCGGAGCGCCGGCGGGGGCAGAGCCTCTGGGCCGGACATGGAGCCCAGAGGCCTCCTCCCCGAGACCCGCGGACTCGGGCGCCCACTGGCGCAGGACTGCGCCCTAGGAACAGAGGTCCACGCGTGGCAACTACTCCGGACAGGCTCGCTGGACTTGGAGACGCCGGCGTGGCCCTGAGGCCCTAGCGGCTGGAGCAGGAGGGGACGGAGCAGCAGCAGCAGGCGCCCTCCGCAGCGGCCCCCCCGGATTCGGCACGGGGGGAGCCTCAAGGAAGGGGCGTGGGCGGTTCAGACAGACCAACACCCTGCCCTGTCCTCGGCGACCCGCCTAAAGGGCCCCCAGGACTCGATGAAGCAGCTGGGGACCCTCCGACCAGGCCGGGGACCTCAGCGCTCGGACCTGGGCAGCCCAGCCCAGGGAACAAGGTCCGCGGACAACTACGGGGAGCCCCAGGGCCGCCTCCTCCGGGCCTGCCAGCTGGGCTGGGGTGGGGGCGGGGGGCCGGTGCCCGGCGCAGTGCCCCCAGCTGCGGGGTGTGGGGAGACAGTCACACGGAAAACACAGACAGAGCCGAGGTTTGCCCAGGGGTGAGAACCACCACGCGCGTGGGTCCGAATTCACAGTATAAGCAACGTAGCCAAGCTGGAGGCTGGGGACGGCGAGGCCGCGGACAGGGCTGCAGCCGCAGTTCTCAGTTACGACGCGCTAACCGGTCTGTGCGCGGCACGTTTTATTTCTATAAAACTATTACAAAATATTCAAAAATACAGTTTAGTAAATTTACAGCAGTTATTCTGAATTTATTATTAATGCAAAACATCCTTGTTTATCTCTGTACAAACTACAGGCTCCATCCGCGTGGGCTCATCGCTGTGTGCGCTTTTAAAAAATATCATTTTCTAATAAATTCTTTGAAGTTAAAAATAACAGAGATCTTCCAGTTTGTCCAGAAAGAAGAAGAAGAGGAGGAGGAGGAGGGGGAGGGGGAGGGGGAGGAGGGGGAGGGGAGGGGAAAGGAAAAGTGTGTGCGCGAGGGGGGGAGAGTCTCGGGCCCTGCGAACACGGCCCCGATGCTAAGCACATGTCACACCGCGAAGATGACGCGCGAGGAGAGGGCTGTGGCGCTGGAAATGAGTTAAATTAAAAATAATATATTTTCATATTTTACACTATTTCAAAAATGAAATGTAATTCAGTTAAGTCTTGATCTCTCAAAAAATCTAATTTACAATTCTGTGTATAAAAATATACTTTGCGGACCCCCACGAGGCGGCGCGTCTCAGCGAACGCGCGCTGGGAGGCGGGAGCGGCGGCGGCGGCGGGCGGCGCGGGGCGCGGGGCGCGGGGCTCTGCTTCCCGAGCGGCAGGGGTGGGGCGGGGGGCGCGGGGCGCGTAGAAAAATAGACTCTGAGCAGGTCGCTGGGCCTCACAAAATAATCTTTCCGCCTGTGAGTGCAGTTCCCATGACAATAATAAATTATCCAAGAAACAAACTAGTTAAGGCTCTGGAAGGTCCGGTTCATATTATTTAAAACATCTATTCATACCAAACAAATAAATAGCCAGGAGAGGTGGGAGGGGGGAGGAAAAAACAAAACAACCATCCAAACAAAACAATAACCAAAAGATTCCAAAAGAATATGCGAACTCAGCACGACGCCAGAACTCCCCCGGGGTCTCGGTGTCCTTACAGTCTACTTTGGGCTGTTCTACAGTGTTATGATGGTTCATTGTTACTGTTATGATTAGCGTCTCCTTCCGTGCGCGTTCCTCCGTGGGTCTGCCGCGGCCTCTCGCTGCCGCCCCCGCCCGCCCCCCGGCCTTCAGCTGGACTTGACCGCCACGCCCAGCGGGTGCAGGGCCTCGCTGTCCAACAACCAGGTGCCTATTTGGTAGAGCAGCTGCGAGTACCAGTGGACGCCCGGCGCGCCCGCCGCGTCCGCCGCCCCCGGCGCGGGCTGGGGGGCGCGGCCGCCGCTCCCGCCGCCCGCGTCCCCGCCGCGGTCCGTGCGCGCGGGCACCAGCGCGGCCAGCAGCGCGTGCGCCAGGCGGAAGGGCGCGAAGGCCCGGTGCGCCCAGCTGTGCTCCTCGATGACCGCGTAGCACGACGCCAGCACCCGGTTGATGAGGATGGTGCCCTGCGCCGTGAGCGGCGCGTACGCGCCCGTGGCCTCCTCGCGCAGCGTGACGCTGTGCACGGCGGCGGGCAGGAGCCGGCGGTCGCCGCCGCGCTCTGCCACCACGTACACGCGCTGGCCCGGGCGCACGCGGCTGGCGAAGAGCGCCCGGCGCCCCGGCGCGCCCCCCGGCGGCCGCCCCGCGCCCGAATCGTTGTGCGGCGCCACGAAGAGCAGGTGCGCGGCGGTGAGCAGCAGGCGCTCGCGGGGCTCGCGCGTCTCGATCACGTAGAAGACCTTCTTGGCGCCGTCGTCGCGGTCCAGGAAGGTGAGGAAGTCGCTGTAGAGCAGCCGGCCCTGGTCGTCGGCCGCCAGCACGCGGTCCCCGGGGCGCAGGTCCTTCACCAGCTTGGTGCCGCCCTGCTCCAGGTGCACCGTGGCCGAGCCCGGGAAGCAGCCGCCCGACTTGGCCGCCACCGAGTTCTCTGCGGGGAGGAGGAAAGAAGAGCGGACACGGCAGTGAGTCCCGGGACGGAGGCCCGCACGGGGGACGGCGCGCGCGCGCGCGCGCGTCCCGCGCGCCCAGACGCGGAGGCGCGCCGCTCCCGGGAGCGGCCAGAGGATGGTCCGACGAAGACCGCCCTCCCCGAGCCCCAGCGCCTGGGCGACAGACTTCACACGCAGACACATTCCTTCACGACTCTTTTAGGATCGGGCTGTTGGTGATAAAGGCTGGCCGGCTCCACTCCTTTCCTTCCTCCTTCCTCCCACCCCACCCCCTGCTCAGCACACACCCAGCTCCGCCGCGAATTCAGAAGGTATTTGCTCTCCACTTGGATTCCGCGGGAAGCCTCCTTGAGCTTCCCCGGGCGCCTTCCCTCCCGCCCCCGCCCCCGCCCGCGCACTCCAGCACCCGGCTGCGCAGCGGGGACCCCTCGCCCGCCCCCAGCGCCCAGCCAGGGGCCTCGGTGTCGCTGTTTTGGGGGGACAGGGGCGGGGGCGAAAATAGCTGCAGTAGTTGTAGCAACTGGACAAACATTCCAGAGCACCGGCCGAGGTGCGAAAACCCGGGGCTTGTGTGGCTTTTCCAATTAAAATCCAATAAAGGGCCCCGCATTGTGCTCGCGATGGCCGCGCGGGAAGGGGGACACTCTCGGAAGCGGGGGGCCTGCCCTGTCTCCTCTCCCCTCCGGGGCTCCCGGCCGCCCCCTCCCTATTTGCTCAGGTGCACTGCCCGCACCCCCCCCCCACCCGCGGTTCACACGCGGGCTCTCCAGAAGCCCGGGCCTCACAAGCACTATTTGCACAGCCAGGCCTCTCTTCCAAGCTCTCAAGATGCGTATTTGAATTTTAAATGGCGGGGCCTACTAGAGCGCTGGAAGCCGCCGGGTTCTCAAGGCCCCTTGACGACGCGCTTTCTCGAGCCCTCGGTGGCGCTCTGAGGCTCACTGTCCCCAGGACAATGATCGGAGCGGGAGGTGCGCGGGGGGCCGGGAGGAGGGGCGCGGAGGCCCCAGTCTTCTTTGCATTCCAATCTCTGGGATCAGGCTTTTTGCAAATAGAGATCGCGAGAAAGAATCTTCCTGCTGGAATTACAGAGGGTTTTTAATCTTCTCATCGGTTTCTCCGGCATGAAGCGCGGGCCTGGCCGTTGGAGGCCCGCCGCAGCCCCCGGAATGCGGTCCGGGGAGCGGGCGAGCCCGAGTCGTCCAGTCGCACGACCCTGCTTGACACGCAGCGCGCGGCGCCCAGGCCCGTGTGCTCGGAATGCCGATGAGCGGCTCTGCGCGTCCGGCGGCTGCTCCCCGGCAGGGTCCTGGGGCCGGATTACCGCTGCTCATTTGCGAGGAGACCTCCAGGGACACCGACCCCCCCCCCCGCCACGGGCACCCCCCCCCCGACAGGGGGACCCCGCGAACTGGGGTGGCTCCAGAGGGTCCGCGCGCGCTCAGGCGCAGTCGCGAGGTGGTGGGAAGGGCGCGCGCCCCAGGATGGGGCAGGGGCGCGGTGGGAAGAGAGAACCCCGGCAGAGACCCAAGAAGCGAGGGCGCCTCCTTCCCCTCCCCCAAGGGCCGAGCCCTGGCCCCGCCGCCCCTGACACCCCTTTTCTTTCTGTTGGGCCAGAAAGCCACTCTTTTCTTTCCCTACGAAGTGCGTCTTAGCGCTTTCAAAGTGTTTCTCTCCTCACGTCTGCGATTAAAATACAGTTTAGGAGGCAAACAGGCAACGCTGGGGAGGCGGGTGGGGAAGACACAGCTCCTCCGGAATTCAGTGTGAACTGTTTTGCTAAACGCGCCAGCTTAGGCTGAGAGGCAGCCGTGGCACCAACAGTGGCCAAGTTGGGATATTCGCGCGCGTGGGCGTGCAGCCTTCCCTACAGAGCGATTCCTCGCCAGCGACCGCATGTGGCGTTGCAGGCCCAGGGAAGCAGCGCGCGCGGCGGCGGGGCGGCCTGGCATGGCGCAGCTGCCGGCTCCCGGGCCGGCCCTGCCCGCGGCGCAGGCCAGCGCAGCCCAGCTGGCTCCTAACGAGGCTGCCGGGGCTTCTGGGCTTGCAGCGTCCAGATGTGGGAAGTGGCGACTGCTGGGTTTATTGCCTCCCAACAGGCCCCTCCCCAAAGGCTCGGCCAGTGAGTTAAGTTAGTTTAGAATCCACAGGCGCTCGCGGGGGGGGGGGGGGTGTCAATGAGGGGCGCACACCCTGGGCAGAGCCTCCTGTTCTGGGGCAGGCGGCTCATTCTTAGGCCCTAAATGAGAGCGAGGCTGAGGCCAGACCCGGCTGACCGCGCGGGGCTGCAGCTTCGCGCCAGGAAAGTGCCCCCCTCTCCTTCCTTGTCTCCGCCACCTGCAGGGGGCTCCGGAAACAGGGGTGGGGGTGGCTCAGGAAGCCGTGCGCCCTGGGCCTCGGGCCCCTTCGGCCTCGCGGGGGGGGGGGCGCGGGGGGCAGCTCCTGGCAGGGTGAGCCTCACAAGGTGTGTGCCCACAGGGGCAGAAACGCCACCCGTATCCCCACCTCCCTCCCTTCCCTGCCCCTCAGGCTCCTCCCCGTGTTTCCGGCTTTGCCTTCGGTCTGGCCGTGGAGCACACAGGTGCCGCCTCGCAGGCACGCCGTGGGCGCGGGCTGGGCGCCGCGGGAGGGCCGCGGGCACTCACCTGCCTTCACGGAGCAGTGGATGTGAGCTTTGGACTCATAGTACACCCAGTCGAAGCCGGCCTCCACCGCCAGGCGCGCCAGCATGCCGTACTTGCTGCGGTCGCGGTCCGACGTGGTGATGTCCACGGCGCGGCCCTCGTAGTGCAGCGACTCCTCCGAGTGGTGGCCATCCTCATCCCAGCCCTCGGTCACCCGCAGCTTCACGCCGGGCCACTGGTTCATCACGGAGATGGCCAGGGCATTGAGCTTGTCTTTGCATCTCTGCGGGGGCGGGAGCAGAGGCGTCAGCACCTGAGGATACCCGCCTCCCGGGGGGCTGCTCTGCCGGTCCCTGAGGACAAGGGCTGGGCCAGAAGTGGGGGACAAGGCCTGGAGCCGGCCCAGGGGGCTCCGAGGAGGTGGCACGGGGCCGGGTGGGGGGTGGTGTAGAGTCTACTGGATGGGCAGCCCCTCGCAGATATGAACCGGGGCCCTGTCTCCCCATCCCAGACCAGCAGAGCTCGGACGCCGGCCTTCAGAACAGATGGGATTTTTGGAAACAAGCGAATTGTGTGTTTTCAGACAAAGGCGGGAGAACCCACCTGGGGGACCTTTGGCCGGGCCCCCTCCTCCTCCAAGGTGCCCCCCCGCCCCCCGCCCTGGCTGCGGCCCCCTTTCTCTGCACCTGTGTGGCGCTCCGCCCTTCTCCCTGGGCACACTCCCTCGCCTGGAGGCCAGAGAGAGGCCCAGGGTGCGACTTTGCAGGAATCAGGCAAAGCGCACCTTAGGCTCCTTAAGGGGCTGAAAGCTTGGCCTTATCTCCGGACCCTCCCTCCCGCCCGGGGCGATCGAGGTGCGAACGTAGCCGCGGGGAGAGGAGGAGGTGGGGAGCCGCAGGGGCGGGAGGCTCGGCAGGGAAAGGCGACCCGGCGAGTTATGATTTCCAGTGCGGGCCCGGCCGGACGACAAACAGCCTTTAGCTGGACAGCCGCATTCCTTTGCCCCGCAGAACTCTCTCTGCCGGCGTTTCTGTGGTCTGATTGTGTCTCTTGTTTTCCTTAACCTGTTCCCTTCCCCCTCTTGTTTTCTTGGCCCCGGCGCAAAGGCGCGCAGAATGGTGTCCGGCAAGTTTGAAGAGCAAACTTCGGAGGGGGAGGGGGGTGGGGCCGGAGGCTGGGGGAGGGGAACCAGAAACGCCTGAAGCCTGGGAGCCCTTCGCCTCGGGGAGTCTCCCTCTGGACACCACCCTTCACCGCCCCCTCCCCCAACACAGGGAAGCTGTCCGTGGCGGTAGGGAAACCAGCGGGCGGGGCGCACACCAGGGTGCGCGGAGCCAGGGTCTGCGGCCATCCCCGCGCGCATTCGCGGGTCCCAGGGAGGGCAGGCCATGCACACAGCCGAGCCAAGGGTGTGCGCTGTGCGGCCGCGAACTCTCTGCAACGCGCGTCCTGCTGCTTCGGCGGGGCGCGGGGTTTCAAAGAGGGGGGCAATGACACCGTCAGTAGGGCGCACCCCCTTGGAGAGGCCAGGCCGACGGGGGCGGGGGGCGGGGAGGTGGGCGACAACTCCAAGTTGGCGTCGGCAGAGGGCAGGGCTGGCCTCCTGCGGGCGGCGGGCTCTGGGATGGGAAGGCGGCCCCATCAAGGACCCTAATAACCGCGTGGGGGGCTCATTTCCTAAAGAGCGGAGGAGGGCGCCCTGGCGGGAGGGGACGGGGCAGATTGCGCAACAGGAAAAGCCCTGTGTATTTGGCAGCAATAAAACCCAGCGATATGGTTGTAGAGTTAAACATACAACCAATGGGGGAGGGGCGGCGGCCGGGGTAACAGGTCAGCGCTCGCAGGTTTCTGGGCCTGACAGCCCTTTTCTTTAAAAAAAAAAAAAAAAAAAAAAAGGAAAAAGAAAAAAGAAAAAAAAAAGTCGGAAGGGCAGAGTTGGAGTGAGGTCATCCTGAGGATTGAACGCGTTTTACATGAAAATCAATCAGTAAACCAGGGTCAGTGAAGAGCCGGGATGTGGAGCCGCGGCGCAGGCGCACAGCGCCGACAGCGCACGCACACTCCGGAGTCCGAGCCCCATCCCGCCGCAGCGCCGGGCTCCGGGGGCCCTGGGCGCCCCCCGCGGCGTCCCTCGGGGCCGCGGGCGGGTCGAGGGCGCGGTGGGAGGACGCAGGCCCACTCCTGCGCCCTGGGCCGCGGCACTTGCGCCAGAGGTGGAGGACCCGGGCGAGGGCGCAGGCCGAGGCAGGCCCGAGCCGGCGCCCGCGCCGCCGCGCCCTCCCCGGCGCCCCCCGGCGCGGCCTGGGCCGGCGGCGGCGCGGACGCGCTGCGCCCCGGCCGGCCATCAATTCACTGGGTCGTGTGCCGCGAATCAAGCCCGACGCTGTGCAGCCACCGTGAAGCCCAGCGGGGCGGCTCGGCCGCTTTGTGTCGCGGGAGCTGAGCGGTCCCCACGCCTGAGCTCCCGCCGCCTCCCCCGTCTGCGCAGCCGCTGGGCGCCCAGCGCCCGAGAGGCGCTGTCACCGCCGGCGGCCGGAGGGCTTCCCCGGCGCGGGGGAGGGGAGCTTCAACTTCAAAAGAGACGCCCCCCCAGTCCCTCCCCCACTCCGGAAAACCAGACCCCTCCCATCCAAACAGGAAAACGCTCCTTAAACCCACACCTGAGCGCCGTGCCCCGAGGCCGCCACGCACCCCGAAATCTACTCATCGTGGCGTCTCAGGCCGGTGCCCTCGCGGCCCCCTGCCCCCTCCGCGCCCCCGGCCGCCGGCACCCCGCCTGGCACCCGCAGCCCGCGGGGACAGGGTGTCTGTCTGCGCTCCCCCCGCTCGGAGTTAATATTAACCAGGAGCTCATGCGTTCCAGAACTGCTCTCCAAGTTCCACTGGGGACGATCTCGCTATGGTTGAGGGACTTGGGCGGCAGGCACGTTGGAGAGACGGAGGCGCACGGAGACGCGGAGGGACGGCGAGACAGGGGAGGAGGGCCGCGCACCTGAGCACAGGGTCCAGGTGGCGATCTTCACCGAAGGGCCCGCGGGCGCGCGGGTTCCGGAGGAGCCCTGACCTCCTCCGGCCGGGGAGGCGGGCGCCGCGCCCCGACGCCGGGCCCTGCCTTCACCGCTCACATCCCCGCCTGCCCCCCATCCCTGCCCCGCCCCCCCACTCGTGGAGTCAGAGCGAGAGGAAGAACAGGAAGGGGTACACCCAGGGCGCCTTCCAGGCTGCCCCCTGGCCACCTGCGATGTGGGGGGACCTTTGTGGGGTCTGCGGTGCCCTCCGGGCCTGGCTCTCCCCACCCACCCCTACGGCGGCTGCCCCTCCCCCGTCCTTTTGTCCTGGGAACGGGAAGAGCCACTGCCCAAGGAAAAAAAAGTATTTGTTTTCGTTTCTTCGTCTGAGGGAAGTTGACAGAAGGTCAGAAGTTCAAACGCTGCCCGCGCACGCGGCGGCGAGAGTGGCGGGGCGCGGGGCCGCGGGTCCCCCGCAGGGCGCCGAGGCCCGGGAGGCCCGGCGGCGGCGGAGCCTGCGCTGCGCGCCGGCCCTGGCACCCGCCTCCGCGCCCGCGCGCGGCGACCCCGGCCGTCGGGGCCCTGCTCCGGGCCAGGGCCGAGCGGCGCAGGGCGCGTGGAGGGGCGGCCGCAGCCCGCCCCGTGCGCTGAAACCCGAGCCGCGGGATCGATCGGCCCGCAGTAAGTGGAGCCGAATGCGTCTGCCTGGGTGCGCGGCTCCGCGCTCGCCGCTCCGCGGCCAGGCCGGGGCCCCTCTCCGGCGTCGGCACCGCGCACTCGCGGGTGGATGCTGACCCCTCCCGCTCGAGGGCGTCTGGTGTCCCCGCCCCGCGCCTGCTCCGGCCTCGCCTCCCTGCCCCCCAGCTCCGGGGGACCCCCAGAAGGCCCCCTCCCTCCTGCGGGAGCAGGGCGACCCGGGGTCGGGGTCCCGGACGGGCTGGAGGACCGCCCGCCGCCGGCGGCGCGCTGGGCGCCGGGAGGCCTGCGCAAAGTTCCCCGCGGCTCGCGCCGCTCTGGGCACCGGCGCGCGCGGCCACACTCGCGGTCCAGATTTAAGGTGGTCGCGGCAGATGTGAGCGAGCGAGGGCGAAGGACCGTCTCCTCCGCGCTCCCCTCCTCCCGCGGCGCCCTGGCAGCCAGGCCGCGCTCGGCCGGGAGCGGAGGGCCCGGAGGTGGCGACTCTGTCCCGCCGCCCCCACCCTCCCTGCCCTCGCGCCCCTTCCGCGCGGCTCCGTCAGCTGCGCTGCTGCGGTGCGCTTCTAGCCCTAAAGGTAGGACTCGAATATTTTAATAGGGCAATAAAAGGGATGTTGACCTATATTCGCCAGGAAATCCATTTCTAGCTTCAGTCCTACGTGCGCGGAGTTTCAGACAGCCCACCCCGGGCGGGGAGACTGGCAGCCCGCGGTCTCCAGCGGCGGCCCGCGGGGCGGGAGGGAGGACGCGCGTGTGCTTGGGTTCCTCGCTCTGGCCCCCTCCCTCGTCCCCAGGCGAGCAGGTTGAAAGCCGGACGGATGCGACGCCAGTAAGTTCCAAGTCCCTCCCCTCAGGTACCAAGCGGGGAGCAGGAAAGCGCATCCTTAAAGCAATATCGATACATTCCCCCGATGGGCAGGACTCCCACAGCCGAATCGCAGCGGGGCTGTGAGACAGGGCCAGCGACCAACCGCGAGCCTCTGGAGCCTTTGGGCCGGAACCCGCTCCGAGCCCTTCCCAGGGAGGATCCTTGGTGGGGGGGCCGCGGCCGCGGCAGCGGGGTGGGGGGTGGGAAAGGAAAGCTCACAGAAGGGAGCCCGGCCCGCCCCGGGTCTGATGCCAGAGGCCAGTTCTGTCCGGGGACCCGCAGGCCAGTCCATGTTGCTGGAGGATTTCTTCCCCCTCCCTCCACGGCCACTGCAAACTTGGAAAGGACAGACCCCCCCCCCGCCCCCACCAGCGTAGGTCTCCCCAAGTTGCCAGCCAGAGCCGAGGCCGGGTGGGAAGGCCACTCCGAGGGAGCGATCAAATCAGGGCCATTCTTGGACCGCAGCTCCTGTGGGCCTCCCCACCCCCACCCTGAACTTCTGCGGCTGGACCCTTCGCCTGCACTCCCTCCAGGAAGCGGGAGGGATGGCAGGGAGGCAGGTGGGTGGGGAAGGCCAGGGTGAAGTCGCCGTGCTCTCTGCCGGCCGAGCAAACACGCCAAGTCTGGGACCGCCCGGCCTCCCGGAGCCCCGTGCACGCAACGCACTCCACGCCCGGCCGCCGGGTTTCTACCTGAGTCATCAGGCGGTCGGCTCCGGTGTTCTCCTCATCCTTAAATATTATGTCGGGGTTGTAATTGGGGGTGAGCTCCTTAAACCGCTCGGAGGTGCGCGAGATCTTCCCTTCGTATCTTCCGCTGGCCCCCAGCGTCTTCTCGGCCACGTTGGGGATGAACTGCTTGTAGGCTAAAGGGGTCAGCTTTTTGGGGTGCCGCCTCTTCCCGAAGCCCCGGCCGGGTCCGCACGCCAGCCCCGAGCACAGCAGCAGCGAGGACACCAGCACGACCAGCAGACATCTCGCCACCAGCAGCATCTCGTCCATGGAAACCAGGGACTCCCAAGCCGTCCCCGCGCGGGTCCGTGTGCGCGGGTGCGCGGTGAGCCTGTGTGCGCTCCCCCTGCCTCGCTCGCTCGTTCGCTCGCTCGCTGGGCGGCTGGCTGCTGGCTCCCTCGCTCGCTCGCGGCCGCCTGGCTCTTTCTCTTTCTATAGAACCCTGCCCGCCGCCGCTGGCGCAGGGGACTCGCGGCCGATCGCCACCCAGACGGGGGCTGGAGCGGCAGGCTGCTGCTGGTTCCTGATAACGGAGCACATCGGACTTAGGGCGGGAGGAAGCAATCAAAAGACAAAAAGAGTCTGATTTTAAATGGTAGCAAAGCCTCGGGAGCTTGTGAGGGAGCCTGTCTTCAGTACTATATTATAGCTGGCAGGGGCGTATCTGATTGGCCAAGGCAACGCAAGCTTCTTTCTCTTCTGATGTTAACCCTAAAAAAGACTAGAATTTTTTTTCTGTGGCTGCGGGTGCTTTATTTTCACCTGAAGGCTTCGAGTTAAAAGGGAAAGAAAAAAAAAATCTCTGCTAAGACGAGGGTGGGCGTGAAGGAGGCGGCCACCGCTCAGGCGGACACCCAGCACCCCACTCTGTGGGGGTCTCCCCGTTCCCCCTTCGCTGCCTCCAGAATGGTAGGTGCTTCAGTGAGAACCAACTTAAGTTTTTAAAGGACCGTCTAGACGCGCCCCCGCCCCCCCCAGCTCCGGCCATCAAACAAGCCTTCTCCCCAGGGCTGGGGGTGGGGGGGGGCTGCCCAGGTCTTGTTTAAATGTTTTTATTTTTCCAGAGACTTTATCACGCAGCCCAGGTCGCCTGTGTTTTGCAGACAGAGGGTCGGCGAGGGTGTTCTGCATATTCTGCATCCTCGGGAGGGCTGTGCTCCCGGACCACGGCAGGAAGCACCGGGGTCTGCCCGTGCTGCCCGGGCCTCTGAGAAACTTGAACATGCGGCCCTTCACTGCGTTTCAGTTAACGCACGATTTTTAATCCTCCGACCAGGGTTGTGCTCGGGGGTCAGTCCAGCGACCCGAGACCGGGCCCAGCGGGCTTGGACCCGGCACCCAGCCTGGAAAGGGGGCCCTGCGGGTGCCGCGGGGTGGGCGGGGGCCCACGGTGCCTGGGCCGTGGGGAGTGGGCAAGGCTACGCGCACGCTGCCCCCACGATCTATCGATCTGAGCCAAGTGCAGGCCACGGATGAGCGGGACGTGGGACCCCAGCTCCCCCACGCCTCTCCTGCCGAGCCGGTGCTCTGGGGGCCGCAGCCCGCCCTGCGCCGGCTCCGGGGGGCAGCGCGGCGTTCAGAAGGGGCCTCCGGACTGGGGGCTGGTGCTTGGAGCTGGCAACATGTGCGTCCCTGCCCCCGCGCCTCTTTCAGAGAAAAGTCCCATTTAGAGCAGAAGAGGAAAATCGCCCCCCCCCCCAGGACAGGCTCTCTCCTCTGGGCCCTTCCATCCCACTCTTGCAGGAATTGCTCCGGAATAGGCCAGGGAGCCGGGCCTCTGCGTGGGGCGGAAATGCTGGCCCTGGGCGGCCAGGCCCTGGCCTGGCCCCCGTGACCCGGCCCCACCGCCGCGCGGTGCGGGAGAGGCCGGGCCCAAAGCCTGGGCCCTCAGCGTCCCGGGCCTTCCCAGCCGCCCGGACAAGCCCCTTGCAGGTGACCTCTTTGGTGCGGGGGAGGAAGGAGACCTGTTAAGAGGCATCCGGCTGGGCCTGGCCTGAGCCCTTCCCGGGTTAACGCCAGCCCCCACCCCGCCTCGCTCGCCTTGTCTGTCCTCGGAGGGGTGCATCGAGGCACTGGGGAGAACCCCCACCCCTGGGCGAGGTGGGCAAGCAGCCCCCAAGGCCGGCAAGGCCTGCCAGGCGTGGGGCCCAGGCCGTGCGTTCCCAGGGAGAGCAGGCGCGGGAAGGCCCACGTCCCAGGCCCAGGAGGGTCGGTCACAGGCAGTGCGCAGGGATGTGGCACCGCAAAGCCCCGGGCGCTGGGGGCCTCCGGCCTTCTGCTCCCCCTCCCCCTCCGCAGCCCTGCGTCTGGCCTCGCCCTCGTCCCTTCCCTCCCCCCGACGCTTTTGCTCTCTCTCCCTCGCCAGCCCAGCCACCGGCAAAGGTCTGTGGCTCCGGGAGGCCACCCTGCAGCCCCAGGTCAGGGACCCCAAGCCGCCCCTGGCGCGCGGCGGCGGCGGCGGCGGGAGGTGCGTGCTCCAGGGCGAGCCACCGGGCGGGTGCTGGGGCCTCAGACCCGCCGCGCCGGCCGCCCCTGCGCCCCGGGAGCCCGAGCAGGCGTGGGGTGCCCCCCATCCCTGGTTGCTGCTCTTGGCCTGGGCACTGGAGATCCTCGAGGATGGAATAACAAGACTCCCCAAACCTCGCGCGGACCCTGATTTCTGAGGACTTTTTCCCATCACAGGCGGATCAGGGGTGGGGGGTGGGGAGTCAGCACCCAACTCAGCTGCAGTGTGTGTTTATTGTTTTAGCAGCAAGGGCGCCCCTGAGACACCTGGAGAAGCTGAGCACCTTCCTTCCCTTCCACCCCCTACCCCCTCGGTTCCTCGACTCCGCGCACCAGACGGCTCCCTCCCTCGGCGGACGAGCTGCCAGGGTTCCAAACCCCGCCTCTGCCTGACCCGGCCAGCACCCCCGGGCACCCCCAGGACCCATTTCTCCTGTGCCTGGGCCCTGCCCCACGTCCCGTGCCGGGCCTCCGCGCCCCTCGCCCCATCCCTCCCTCCCTCGCCGCATCCCTGCGGAGGACGGGTGGCGGCCGGCCTCCGGCCCCCACCCCAGGAGGCGCCGCCGCGGCCCCTGACGCCCCGCCGGCCCCCGCCGCTAGATGGCCTCCTGACTCTGCCTTCAGGTCGGCTCCGCGGGCCGGGAATCCGAGCAGACCAGGTGGGCAGGCCCCTGGGAGCAGGGTGAGCCGGCCTGGCCGCCCGGCCCTGACCCCACCACCCCCGCCACCCGTCCCTGTGACCCCCATTCCCCTTTGCCCGGTGGGGGCCGCTGGCCTCCCGGCCGCGGCAGCTGCGGCCACACCTCTGCGGGGCCCTGGGGACTGCGGTCCCTGGGGTGCGGCCGGCTGCGTGCGCTTCCTCTGCCCCAGGCCCCCTCCCCTCTGACGTGTCTTCCTGGGACCCGTCCACGCAGTCCCCTTCCATCCAGCTGTGCCTTTCCATTCCGCTCCGATTCTGTCTCCTCTGGCCACTCGGGTGTCTGTGCCTCCCTTTCCCCTGTGACTCCCAGCCAGGACGCAGCCCCGGGCCCGGGGCCGAGCCTGCAGCTTCCGGAGAGCCTCTGGGCAGCCGGCCTCCTTGCCTGCCGGTGCCCACCGGGCCGGGGAGGAGGCCCCCGGACACACAGACATCCGCCGGCCGGGCTGGTGGGGCAGGCGCGTGTCCGCCACGCTCTGTGCCACGCCGCGGGGAGGACCTGCACCTGCCCGCCCTTGGCGCCTCTCCGGACCAAAGGGACCGGTGGCGTCCGGCGGCCGCTCCCCTCCTCAGGACCTGCGGTTCCAGCCCTTGCTGTGGCTGGCTCGGCGGGTTCTGTGGGATGACCGGTCCGCCCGCCTGCGGGGCTGCAGCCTCCGAGGGGGATGCAGGTGCTTGTCCCCAGGAGCAGGGCCCTTTTCGGTGACTTCGCCTTGTCTCCCAGGGGGCTGCGATCACCGCCCCACCCCCACCTCGCCTCTCACCTCCGGGGTCTCCCGTCCCCCACGCCGGCGCTCAGAGCCGGCGTGGACATCGGGGCTTGGCACCGGGGACGAGGGCTCGGGGGCCGTGCTGGGTCCCCCGAGAATACGTGCGGCCCAGTGGCCCCTGGTGAGGGGCCCGCCCAGCCTCCCACGGAGGGGAACCGGGAGCAGCTGTGTGAGCGACTCGTTCTGAAGGGCAGGTGCAGGGGCCGGGGTGAGCTGGTGTGTGCGCGGGTGAGGGTGAGCGTGCGCCTGTCTGTGACCGTGGACAAGGCCTGTCCAGGAAGTACCCAGCCGCACACTGTGCACAAGAGACATCCATGGAAGAGGATACAAGACGCAAGACACACTGTACCCAGGACAGTGGCGCCTCCGTCCCCTGCAAAGCAGGCACCTGGGGACCTCGCACAGTTCCGGTCGCCATCCGCTGCCCCGTCGTATTTTCCTGACTCGCATCGATGGTCTGAAATCGCTTCCCTTCCACAGGTGATTTTAGTTTTGGGAAAAGTCAGAAGTCGCAGGGCGCCACACCTGGGCTGCAGGGGGGCTGGGTCGCCTGGGTGATTTGATGTTTCGCCAAAAAACTGCACGAGACGTGATGCGTGAGCGGGCGCGTTGTTGTCCTGAAGCTGCCAGTCACCAGCCGCCCACGGCTGCGGCCTCTGGGCCATCCCAACAGTTCCCGCAGTGGAACGTTCACACTTAATGCAAAACTGGATGCAGATTCGTTGCTCTACTCATTTTGAATGTGACGGCCACACAGCACACGTGCTCACTCAAGGGAGTCCACTGCCACCACTGACTAGTACAGTGAAGTCGCCATTGTTCACACATGTGCATTCCAGTCCCCTCTCCTGGGCTGCCAGGTGACATCGATGTCTTGTTACATTAACAGTAGCTGGGCTTTTTCTGGACAGACCTGGTATGTGAGGGTGTGCATGTGTGTATGTATATGAATGTGTGTATGTGACAGTATGTGAGGGTGTGCATGTGTGCGAATGTGTACATGTGAGTGTGTGACTGTGTATAAGTTCATGTATGAATGTGTATGTGTATACGTATGTGTGTAGAGTGTGTATGGGACTGTATACATGTGTATAAGTGCATACATCTATGAGTGTGTGTGTTGTGTACGTAAGTGCATGCATGTGTAGGAGTGTGTAATTGTGAATGTGTATGCACATGACTGTGCCTGATGTGTATGTGTATGATCATGTATGGCTCTGTGTATGAGTGTGTGATCGCATGTATGTGTGCACACACATGTACGACTGTGTGTGGGCACGAGCGGCCATGTGATGGGG